GAATGAAGCCATCAATCTCCTGAGATTAATTTTCTCGTCGCAAATTGACAATTATTGAGTGGAGTCAAGGTAGCTCCTCTGATTGCTGAGTGCAAATGCTTCCATCTGCTCTGAGCTGGACTAACACAATCTCCACAATCAAAAGGAAAACATAACATTTAATCCAACAAAATTATTTTCAAATGTATTTTTAATTCTTACAAAATGTGTAATGTCCTACCTGAATTATAAAAAAATACAGAACAATATAAACCTTGAGGAAAATAAATAAACAATTAAAACATCTAAAAAAACAAAGACATTTGAGCGATTTCAAGGCTGTTTTGAGATTATTAACGTGTCATTTCTTTGAATAATGCTTGACAAGAGATCTCCCCAAACACTGAGCCCTCTGACATCGAAGTCCCCATCAGAGAACTTTAACGCCTTGAGCTCAGTCTGCAAATGTTCCTTTAAAAAATCGCTACCTTTACACAGAGATACAAAGTGCTCCGTCAGATTCTGGAAAGAAATAGATGGACTTCTGTTGACTGAAACCCACTCCCTGTTGTTCAAATCATACTCCATGTCTTTGCCCCACGTTGTGAGGACATCAATATACATGTCTCGAAATCTTAAATGTTTTTTGGCCAAGTCTGCAAGAAGCGACAGAGGCAGCGAACGACACATGTTTTCCAAAAAGTTGCGTTTTAAGTCCAGCCAGTCTAAAAGAAACACACATTTGTCCATCGCTCCATCACTTTTCAAAGCAGCACCGATTACGTCACAAAAATGCTCTTGTGTTTCTTCGCATCCTTGAAGAACAGAGTCCAAAAACTGGTTTGCACTGTGGCCTCCCAGTTTCTCCAGTAAGAGTTCAGCTTGTACTTCAGCTTCAGGACCAACAGTGGATGGTATACCAACACTCCGCAGAACTTTACATGCCGATTTTCTCTCAATAATAGCACTACAAATGCCTCTTGCGTCCTGATAACCTGTTTGGCTATTTATTATAAGTGCAGGTTTATCAAATAGTGTCTTCATAATCGATACAGGGACATGGATATTTCGCAATATTCCATCCAGCAATAGATTCTGGCAGCGAGACAAGTCACCAAAGCAGAGTGCAGTGTAGTCTGGGAAAACTGGACTCAGGCTCTCATTTGTTATCTGTAGCTGCATCTCCAAGACTTTTCGGATGGCAGAGTTGTGATGAAAGCGGTTGTGGAGGTGCTCACAGTACAGGGCCCAGTGTAAGGCCCTGGATAGCGTGTCTTCGTCCCATTGTGCCACTGTGTCACTGTGGGCCGCCACAGCCAGCAACTCCACTGCACTTGAGATGTTTTTCACCATGACCTCCATGTGGGGGCGCTGTTTCAGCTACAGGCGCACTGCTACGACCCTCTGAGACATACTGCAAAGGAGGAAAATGTAGTGAATTTAACTTGTTATGGATTATGGATTAATTAGAATATAGAAAACAGTCCAGTAAACAAACAGACCACACATGATAGCATTACGCGAAGTATAAAACTTTGTCGTTAGTTTGAAGGCTCGGCATCAAAATATGGATGAATTGCTTAATAAGTGGTAATATTAAAACTGACTAATAATATCATTCGGAGGACAGCGTCTCTCTAAAATTTAGCAATAATGGTTAAATGCACTCACTTTGGTTCTAGATCCATGGCTGCTGCATGTTGCTTTTTCCCTCTACCGGTTTCACTTCCGCGCATGCGCAAACTTTTTCGTCGTATGTAAAAACAAATATGCAATTAAAACAAATGATGTTTCTCCTAACGACTTTGTATGGAAACTAATGATAGAAAATGACATGTATACGTTGTAATAAAAATATGCACAGGATCATGGACAGGATAGGGCCGTAGCCTTGATGGGACGTCCCTCTCATCAGCTGCAGCGCCCTGCTCTCGCCCCTCTCGGATTTGTGGATGTTATAGTTCGTGTGTGTGAGAATGACTCCCACCACAGTCCACACACTGTTCTAATGCAGAACCTGTGGAGCGCTGACGGGTCCAGCATGAAAGCAGCGGTCCAGTGCAGTGGAGCAAAGAGAGGAGGCTGAATCCAAAAGGTAAGGACATTTCATTATTTTATCAAGATTGTTCACGTCTCACTAAGATATGACACGAACCAAGTTGGTTGTTCTTCCTTATTCCTTTATATTGTTATAGGATCTTCCTGTTCATAAAGGCCAGATAATTTTGTCATTCAACAGCAGCAACCCCAGCGCTTTCACCTTTTTAATAATAATAATAAAAAAGTTTTCGAAATCTTCTACATCTCAAGATTTATTCAACTGAGAAGTGCGTGCAACCCTCTCTGTTCTTCATCTTCAGTTGTGGTTTTGTGACACCCTTTAGAAGGAGACAGCCCTTACATTTTATTGCTGTCTGCTTTCAAGTGGACGTAACGTTGACCAAAACATTGTAAAACATGTGTTAACATGTGGTTTGATGTTATGGAACCCAGACAGCCTTTTGAGATTTTACAATTCAGACAAGGGTTAGAAAATAACTCATAATCTTGCTCTTTATGTAACAATGGCAATTTAATTAATTGTTCAGAAACAAACAAATTATAATTTATTGACCATGAATCTCATTTAGAAAACAATTAATTGAAAGCATCTATATTTTCATCTTTCCATTACAGTAACCTAGTTAAGATTTGATACAAGGCTAATTAAATCCTTCTTATAAACCAAATTTTTTTGTTGAGGATTTAAAAAGAGAAATGAACATAAAATATTGCGTTCAAAAATTGAAATGCACCTTTATATCAACAACAGAGCAGCAGATTAAATACTGGCCAGTTAGATATTTACTTTAGATTACAGCATTCAGGCAGACATAAATGCTCCCCTTATTGCTGTACTGTGCAGAAAGAAAAAGCATGATAGTCTGGAGGACAGAGGGTCTCTTGTTCTTCATAATTGACGTGATTCTGTTCAGTTTGGAGAAAAATCCCACCGTGTGTTTTCACTGCAGCCATCCTTAGCTGACGGCACATATTATCGCGGCTTTACTGGAGTCATGAGGCCAACGTATGTTTGAATATCCCATGATGGAGGTGTTCAAGTCCCATCCACAAAAGATCGCTGCTGGTTTAATTCTCTAGAGTTGAAGGGGTCAAGCTGCAGCGAGGTGAGATCAGGCAGGTATGTCCAAAAACAACTCTGGAAGTCTGCGAGAACCCCAAATCTTGATATTATTTATGTATGAAGGAAGAAAAAACATGTGCATTACAAACGGTTTCGGGACAGATAGTTTGAAACCATGACAGGTGTACTGGAACTTTTTTTTGTATATTATTATTATCTTTATTTATCAGACTCGAAGTCCATAAAAAACAAACAAACACAATTTGCAATGTATCTAATTCTTTTCTATCTGTAATCTAATGGTTTAATCATTGGTTTGTGTGCATGGAAAATGTATACCTTTCACTAATGTGTGATATAAGTATATGTTTATGTTTGTATATGTACATCTTAAACATGCTTTCACAAGATTGTAATATCAGAAACGATGCATCTCATGTGGTTATTCCTCTTTAAATAAGTGTCTATAGATAAATAAATATGGTTCAGTCGGCGGCCTTGTATGACTTAGAATCCTTTAAATCATTTGGTTTAGTTCTGTTTGCCAAGAAGAATTTGTTGCCTCCTTGAAAACGCAGGGCCTTATTAAATTGACTTGAGGTTTTCAAATCATTACATGATGTTGCTTTGCAGAAAAATGCATTTACAGGGGTGTTTGGGTGCTATAACTAGACTGCATGTCAGCAAAAATATACTGTCGATGCTTGAGTGTGGTTGGCGTGTTGCTTGTTCTGTCAGTCAGATCGGACCTTGGAATCTTGGACAAAAACCCCTCACACCTGCATGTCAGTGCTGAGCTGTGGACTCTGGACAAGTGACTGTGTTTGGGAAGTCAAGACAAGACAACCCTGGTCTGACATGAGCGTCTCAATGGCTTTAGTGCTACTACTGTGTGATGTGGTGACTGTTCATTCTAAAGGTCCACTCCACATTATGCACATATGAATAATGGCACAACATATTACGCCTACATTATATTCTCTAATACAATTGTACTTCATAATACATATTAAAACAACTGTATGACACAGATCAAACCAAATGAAAGAAAGGACCTTGTTTGAATTTAGATCATCAGATTATCTTGAAATGACAGATCTCTTGTTTGCATAAGGTGGTTTCTCATTTGCCTGCTGTTCTTGTGTATTTAGACAGAACTTACAATGCTCATTCACAATAGCATTTAAAATAAAGTCATTATAGTCTTCATAGAATAATAAGGACATGGAAATGAAAACAGTGAAACATGGGAATGTAAACACACATGTCTACTCCTTGATGTCATACATTTGTTGTAGCATTTGTGTCTTGACAGTCTATAAAATGCTATTCAATAGATATTCTTTGTGGGTATTTTACACACAAATAATTCAAATACATTTTATATATAACGACCAAAATCCCTAAAAGTCATCTCGAGGGGCGAGCAGGCCAAACAACAGGCTGGGGACTAGTCCTCAGGTCCAGGGAGTCCAAGGTTTCAAGTCCCACCAGTGCATTCATGGAACAGACAGAGGGACAATGGGTGAACAGCAATGCACTGACCACATTTAAGCATCATGTCAAATTGGCCGTGAAGAAGAGGTCTATTCATCCGGCAGAACGTACATAACGGGTTTAAAACTGAAAAAATAAAATGAATAATGGTTAGGAGTCTGGTTCATCAGTCATTTTACATGCATTCACAGCAGATAAGTTTGTGGGGCATTAAAAACAGTGCATTAAAACAATTGTGTATGTATGGGACATTAAACACCGTTGTGTAACAACACAACAACTGAATCGTAAAATGACTGAACAAAGTGTTAACTGTACTGTGTGTTTGCTTTGTCTCCCACAGTGAGCCATGTGCAGCTCCCTGAGTCCCAAACAGACGATCGGCCCGGGCCTGACCGACATGCAGCAGTACCAGCAGTGGCTCGCCAGTCGCCATGAGGCCAGTCTGCTGCCCATGAAGGAGGATCTGGCCCTGTGGCTGTCCACCATGCTATGTGAGAAACGCCTATGAACTATAACGTCTTTTATTCATAGAAGACTTGAATTGGTGAGAACTTGACAGGCCAGTCCAAACTTAGCTGTGATTCTGCTGAGTGTTCTTTTTGGGTTCTTACAATCAATATGAACCTCCATTAGTGCCTCATTAAAGGTCCCATATTACGCTTTTTGACTTTTCTCTGCCTTTTTCATGACAGTACTCTTTCGCCTTCATACACATGCCCAGAAGAGTTTTTTTTTTTATTAATTCCCTCAAGCTTTAGTTAGAGAAAAATCTTTTCTCTTTCTTTCTCGAGAGGCAGAAAGACGACTTGTTTCAAATCGTGAAGAAGCCCGCCTCCAGGAAGTGATTGACAGTGGGGAGAAACTGAAACAGGGAATCAGAGCAGTCCATGAGCATAGGATGGACAATGAAAATCGAAGAAGAGCGTGATATTCGGACCTTTAAGTAACTTGACTTTATAAAAGCATATGTCGGTCTTTAAGAGCTGCTGAATGCAATAACAGTGAGATGAGTGAGAATGTAAATGCAGTGTGCAACATGGATATCCACGGCATCAAATGTTTAATAATGACCCCGGTATATCTTACAGTGAGCTTGCACTTTAGTATCTTGCGCTCAGAATTACACCGAATTCAATCGTGTGGAAGGATGTCAAATGGGGATTTATGTCTCCTCATTTGGGTACCTAACTTCCAGAGCAGAATACACTAACTATGTAATAAAAATCCATCTTAATAGACCCGAGCTCTCAAAAGAAACATCTTGATTATATCACTAGTTTTCACATGCATGCGTTTTTGGCTTCGTCCTTTTTTGGACACAAAAGCCCAAATGGTAAAATAGGGCTCTTTCTTACCAGTATGCAAAAAATAACATGTTCTAAGAAGATAAAGGCAGCATGTTGTGGTGATTGGTTCATTACATCATTCTTTTTCAATACTTTTTCTGTTGGCACAAACAAAAAGTATTCATATTTGAAAGAAAAAGTAATGTACCACAGATTTAAGGATTTACTTTTTAGTGTGGGTAAAATCAGTGGGGATGTAAAATGCTTGAGACGTGTCTACTGGTTGTGTGTAGCGGCGGGCAGCTGCCTTTGTGAGTCATATATTTGCAAAGCGAAGCCATAGGAGCAAGTATTAAGCATTATTCTCTACGGACCCCTTTGGATTTGATTTTCCTATATGTGCTATGCTTGGTTTAGTACGGGCATAAAACTGGAGCTGGTTGAGTATTTCTCAAGATCTCAATTTTCTGGCCACAATTATAACATTTGGAACTCATTAAAAGCCGCTGACCCCTCCTCCTATAAGAAACTGAAGAGGGATAAAAAAACACATCTCTTGGGTTGCTTTTCCCGCAGACACCACCCCCATCACCACCTCCAATTTCACTATGATCTAACCTAACAAGAATGGTCACTCGGAAGTCAGTCAAATGGACAGTTCGAGTTGATCTTATGGCATCAATCTGAAAACATTGTCTGGATAATGAGGTTATATCATGCTACCATTTGCTTTGTCCAAACAGAAATATAAGTATTTTTTGAAGATTTGGCTACCGCAGATCCCATAATATACAATTATATTTTTGCATAGCTTCAACCACAAATGGGATGATAAATGCTTGCTGGTTAGTCGTTATTTTTTGATAAATGGAGTGTGCTTTTTGTATGCCTTTTATGCTGCTCAGGTCTGGAAATCACCGCTGAAAGTTTCATGGATCGCTTGGACAATGGCTTCCTGTTGTGCCAGCTGGCTGAGACACTGCGGGAGAAGTTCAGGGAAAGTCATGGAGTCCTGTCTCCACTTGGCAACAATAAGGTAATTCACACCCGGAGTAACGCAAATGATAACAATCACACTTCACTGAACAGATCCTCAAATGACTTAAAATATTAGTGTAAGAAAGAGATAGACTTAAATTCCAAGAAGCCTGGTGCTTTGGAATGGATGATCAATACAACCAATTTATTAATATTTTTTGATTAACTCCTTGGCATACATAATATAATGAGGCACCACGTGGGAGAGTGGTTATCGCTCTTTCTTATCTGCTAGAGAGACCTTGGGTTGAATCCCGGTCAGAACAAGGCCTTTCTGAGAGGAGTTTGTGTGTTCTCCCCATGTCTGCAAAGGTTTCCTCTCTCGCTAAAAGCTTGTACAATTGTAAAAAACAAACAAACAAAAAACCTCCAGTTCCGGTAGTCCTGACCAAGCCAAGCATCAACATCTGGAGATGGGCCCCCGGGTGTTGCACTTCAGAGGCCCTATTGAAGGATGGCTCGAATGCAGAGGACAAATTTCCCCATGAGGACAATAAACCATATCTTAACCAACTCATTTACTCATTGCGTTTGTTTACCTTAGACTATAAATGGGGCATAATTTCCCTTCGTTCGCCCCACCTGAACTCCCTCCAGCAGAAAGTACCTTCATGTCTTGGAGTTGGACCAGTTGCGCATCATTACAGACACATTCAAGCTCTCGACAACTCTCTCTGATTAGAAAAGGATTGAACCAATAAAACTGAAACCGAGGTATACCCTGTGACCGGTGCCCATGCAAGTAGTAGATATGTAGAAATCGAAATGTTAACTTTTGAAGAGTATGTGAACCCCCCCCATAAGATCAACAACTTACTTACTTAAACTTACTAAATATATAACATGTGCATTTAAATTGTTGTCTATGTTTCCGGCCATCAATTATGCAAACCTGAGCCTTGCCGTTCTCTTCCTGGTTAACAATGTGCTGTTGCTATTACACTACATATCTATCTCACTACACATGAAGAATAAATGTTCAACCCTTCGTATACCACAGTTATATCTACATTTGTTTTGAAATTCCAGTCGGAATTTAGATGGGAACCTCCAAGACCCAATGCCTCCAGACGCCAGCTTCACTGCTCTTTACTAATGAAATTCTAGGTGGGATTTGTAAATTGAATTTCCTCTGTAGAGTTTGTTACCGCATATAACTTGAGTAAATCTGAGATCAGAGACCAAAGGGGCCCAGCTTCACAGCGACCACAGACATTTTGTATATAGAGCAATGGTTCCACACACAGATTGAGACAGGGTTTTTTGAGCAAATAATCCCAATTTACATTTATACATGAACAAGGAAGACGGCGATGGCTCTATGTATAGAGAATTGTGCTTACTAATATTATGAATGGAAATTTGGAAACATATTTTAAGCAGAGTTTAATGTATTGCATGGTTTAGTGATAATACACCTTTTCATTGTAAAAGTGGTATATGACATAATTTCTTATACCTAGGCCTATCAACCAAATAGTCTCTCATGAGTTTCACGAACGCACTGAGACTAAAGTCTACATCTAACTTCATAACAGAGTTCACTCATAAAAACAATTTACTTAGGTGGCCTGGTGTTTCACAGATACTCTCAGCAAGAATCTCCTGGCTTTTCTGAGTGTTTGCATGTTCTCCATGTGTCTGTGTAGATTTCCTCTGGGTGCTCCGGTTCATGCCGCTAAAAACATGTACAAAAGATCCTCTCTGGAGTCAGGATCCCTGTAAAAAAAGAATCTTTCCTGGTCAAATAAAGGTCAATAAATCATTAAATACACACGTTGAGAAAACAGCTAATGTGTCTTTCTCTAATATACATTTGAAACTTACACAGTTCTATACAGATAAGTGTTGACAAAGATTTAGACCAACTGTCTCTATCCAGTCATTATTCATTTAGGAATAATCGCTGCTTATTACATTTATTAGATGTCCACGTGGCTCTCAGTCATGTACAGTCGATAAACAGGTCCTTTTGAAGTCCCTGAAGGAATTGAATTTGCTTCTCCTGAAAGATTGTGCTCAGTTTCTCTGCTCAAAGTGGGATAGTTGACATTTTAATGTTTTTGCATGTGTTTTTTCCGTTTAATACTGTGGAGAGCTAAAGACATATTTTTGGTCCTAGAGGGACATGTTGATGTTTGCACTAGAACCTCCTGATCTCGGTGTGAGCCGTGAGACAGCACTGAATACAGAGCCTTTTCACTGAACCTAAGCAGTCCACTTGTGACACAGGACTCCAATTCAATCATTAATCAATATTTTCATTTTCAAATGAACCAAAGTAATATTTTTTATGTTACACACAAATGTTTTCCCAAAAACCAGGCCACGTGTAGATATACTGAAGAAAGCACAACTTTGTTTCACTGTTTTTTTCTACATGCCCTTTTATGTCCTTTTTAAGTTACGGTTCATGACAACATACTTTCATTTATACATAGAGATAAAACAGAGATAACATTACTGGGTCTTGCTGATCGCAATACGCGCTTGTTGCTTTTCTCTAAATTTATCATTTTTAGTCCCCATTATACTAATTATATACAAAGCATGGGTGCACTGTGCCTGTTTGTGCAATATTAGTGACGCAAATGACATTTGTCCAACATGCTTTTAGGAAATAAAACAAAGCTTTTCCAATAGTCAGGAGTTGAGTCCAGGAAGAAAAGAAAAATACCCCAAAAAGCCTATTGCATATTTGCAGCATGAGCTCACTGCACTTCTCATAGCTCAGATGCACACACTGTGTGTAAAAACCACAGCCAGGCATAAATCCTCCTGTAAGGACCATGTGGGGGCTGAGAGCCATAAGTGTGTCATTTGATCTCGCACACAGAGGGCCTGGTAAAATAGGTCCAATGTACTATCCCACCATCTCTTATATTGATCTGCATGGAAATGATCCTGCTTGAAATCAGAGCTTTAACAGAAGGAAAAGAAATCAGTGTGTGATATAGTCTGAATGGCCCTGTGTTTTACTGAAAGCCCTGGGGTGATGGGGGAAGTCACACTCTTTGACTAATGTTATTCATCACATGTTAGAAGATCATAAATATAAAAGTGAAGAATTCCTTGCTCTTTGTTTGCAGACTAATCTCTACCGGAGGATTCCCTGCCGGAAAAGTGCACCATCGGGATCTTTCTTTGCACGGGACAACACAGCCAACTTCCTGTCCTGGTGCAGAGAAGTTGGAGTTGGGGAAACGTGTTTGTTTGAGTCTGAGGGTTTGGGTAAGTACTTTTAACACACAAGGATGTTATAGGGTTAAAGTATGGGTCAATATGCTATCAGTCAATTCATAGAAAGCACAGATCTTTGTCAAACAGAAAAAGCGTTTTGTCTTTGTATATCCCTACACTAAATACAAATCTGAATGCCCTTAAAATGAGCATTGACGACTGTGTAGCTTCAGTGAGAAAGTAGTGAGGATGATCAGATGTTCTTCCGGATCAAAATAAACATGATGCACAAAAAACAGGAAAACCTAGGCACTCCAGTACCTTAAAAGTCGGATATTGAATGGAAACGCCATTATACTGAAGTACTTTTATACGTATGTTATGGTATACTGTATATATCTAACACCTTTCTAACCAAACCAATATTACATCCTTGCCCTTAATAAGATAAAGTGTAGTTTCAGATATTGAAAGCAATATCTTTAAAAAAATAAAATAGTTAAAACTACTGTGCTTTAACTTGATAAACATTAAGTCTGATTGCAGCCGCAGTCTGTAAAAACAAAGCAGCGACCACAGAAGGGTGTTGGGTGCTGGGAAAGTAGGCCAGCATTATGCAAATGTAACAGAGTTGGGACAGTTCACTCCCAGCCTCTTTTTGTGTCTCAAATTAGGTGGAGGAATTCCTTTATGTATAAAAACATAAACAAAAACAATATGTCAATCAACTCAAATCCATTGTCTGCCAAAGATAGTCAGACCCTGTATAGACTCATCCATTCGGAAAACAGTATCATGCTTTCATACTGTACATGTTTAAAGCCTATATATATTATGACTACTATCTATATTATTTTTTTCTTTTCTTTTTCCTTGTGATGGATTAAGTTCAGAAGTGCAGAGACGTCCAGGTTTGCAACAGAACTAAACTCTTTTGAATAATGCATGGTGTGGTGTGATCACATCTCCATCAGTCTCTGGTGCTTGGGATGATGAACATGTTTCACTAAGGATTCCATTGTTCTGTACATTCACTCGAGAGAAACTCATGGTGCATGATCGTAACGCAATCTTTTGTCACATCACAGCTTTGCATACTTGCCATTTCATTTCATTGTAAGTCATTTATTTAGTGATGTTGCATTGATTTATATTCATTTTTACAGTTCTCCATAAGCAGCCCAGAGAAGTGTGCCTTTGTCTTTTAGAATTGGGGCGAATAGCGAGCAGGTACGGACTCGACAGCATCATGAATACATTAAACTATAGTTGCCAGGTGACTACCCATTTCTCAAGTTGCTCCACATCTATGTCGCAGGTACAATGTGGAGCCTCCTGGACTCATAAAGTTGGAGAAAGAGATCGAATTAGAAGAAAAATGCCCTCCTCCTCCATCACCTGTGTCTCCCTCTCAGCCTCTCCCAGCCTCCCCATCGCTGTCGCCTTCCCCTTCTCCCACGGCCTCTCCCACCCCGGCCAAAGTCACCTCCACCAAGAAAAGTACTGGGAAACAGCTGGATGATGCCGTCAGTCTTATTCATGATATGTTGGATTAATTTATTTACTGTTATAATTCTTACAGTTAGTTTGTTTTCATAGGTGCGACACATTGCTGATGATCCTCCTTGCAAATGTCCCAACAAGTTCTGTGTGGAGCGGCAGTCACAGGGACGATACCGTGTCGGAGAGAAAATGCTCTTTATTCGGGTAAGCTTTGTGTCCTCGACAAAAATGTTATTTAAAAATAGCCAAATACTCTTCGGATTTCATTTTTGGAAGATATGTCATAGCTCTGTGTGGTCTCAGCGACTACTAAAACATGTTTATTCAGTACAGTAAGTGCTGCACAAATCAATTTTAAAACAAGTCAGATTGATAACAACCCCTTACATGGGTGGTCATCCTTCTTTCTCAGCTCGGGTCCACATTTCTGTTTCTCAAGCTTCTCCTGCTCTTCCTTCATGATGCTACTATCGAACCGCCACATGCATCACCATGAATGCCGTTCATCACAAAACGATTTGGGATTTTTTCCATTATCAGTCTGTATCTGGAAGTTCCACAGGTTACATAGTATCTGATAGATCGATAATTGTTCAGGGAGATTGCTTCACAAAGAGCAGATGCTTGTTGATTGCCTCTGGACAAACATTACTGAAGAGTAAAATAATGCCGATTACAGAAGCACACTACGGCCCCTTGGGACTGTGGTTACTTGGCAACACAGCACCAGTAGTCACACCTCTAAAACGTGATTCATGCTTACGGTATGTTGAGGATGGTCTTCTCTCATCAGCATGTTCTGCTGCAATCTACAGAACGGTGTATCGTAAAACAGACTAATGTTAAAAAATGTCACACACACTACAGGCCTGCATCCATTTACAGAACATTTAGTGTTGCTCTGTATCCAAAATGAGGCGATGAATTATTTAGTGTTTTTGTTTTTTAACCCCTTTTTTCTGAGAATATCTTGATTGTTTAGTAAATGCAAGATTGTTTTTCCAAGCTGCAGTTTTTTTCAGAGTTACCAATTTCAAATGGTTTGACCACTGCCTCGTTGTGGGACAGACCCCCATATGTGGCATAAATGAGGTTCTTGTAGCTGGCGCGCGGGAGGTGAACTTTCGGTGTTATATGGGAGAGGTGTTGTCCTGGGGGCTGTTGTCCTCTCCTTCTCCCTGAAAAGGGGGTCCCTTCTAACAAGGTCCGGTCCCAGAGCTGCATGATTGAAACCTCTCTGCCTCACACAAACCATTACTTTTACAGTCACAGTGCCCTGAGGCCGGCAGCAGCTGATTGGCAGTGGTGCTGCCACCGCCTGTAGATTGATTTTGTTAAGAGGCTTATTAATGTTGTATGTTATGCTGCTGCAGGGCATGAACCCTCATATTGGGACACACTGAGGGAACAATCTCTACTTTCCTATTTAGTCTTGCCTCTCTTCATTGAACCTTTTTTGTGTGGTTTGTTGAAGGTCTTTATGGTCATTGCCTCTGAGAAATACAAAAACCCAAGCTGTAAATTACCCCCTATTTTTCTCCTCCAGATGTGAATATAATAAAGTATGCGGCTGATGAATGACGAAGTAAAGTTACAGTGCCTCAAAAGTTCTAGAAATGTGGCAACAATAGTAAGCCTTTAAAGCAGAAGTGTTCATTCTGGTAGAAGTTCTATTAGAACTAAGAACTACTATTAGGAATGTTTGACACGTGTCTCTTCTTATCCTTTTCTCTTTCTTTCTTCACAGATGCTCCACAATAAGCATGTCATGGTGCGTGTGGGCGGAGGCTGGGAGACCTTTGAGAGTTATCTGCTGAAGCATGATCCGTGCCGCATGTTGCAGTTCTCCAGAGTGGAGGGAAAGACTTCACTCAGCAGCAAGTCCCCCAGCATCAAGGACCTGAGCCCAGACAGTTACATGGTGGTGGCAGCCAGCTATAAAGCCCATACGAAAAAATGAGCTCATACAGGAAGTCAACTATGCAACATTTCTCAAACGTTTGTGGACGTTTTGGTGGGTGTAATTCTTTTTTTTTCTTGTAATTTTCCATGTGAAAAGCAATTCTGAAAATATATTTCACTCTTTTAGTATGGTGTTTGATTGTAGTTGTTTTTTCTGCAATTCCTGCATTTTTATTGTTTCTATTATTCTTTTATATTTTAATTCAAGACCAAGACCAAAGACCTTTATACTTGAGATACCTATGTGCTGTAAATAATTACGAGACAAGTCTTAAAACTTTTAAGTTATCATTGATTTCTTTTTTCGTTTTTGAAATTTTGATTCAAGCTGCACCAGAACTCCTCAGCGTTCAACCATCGTCTTTCTTTAGTTCACTGTGTGTTACTGCCCTCTAGCGGCGGCTAACGTCCTCGATTTATGCACGGAAGATAATACAGAACAACATTCACAATATCTGTATAAAAGACTGTATTCTATTGAACATATTCTGACTGGATGAAGACCTGCATATCAATAAACAAAAACAACATACTGTATTTGTTCATGTTCTCTTGTAAAAGGAAAGCTGTATATAGTTAAGTGTTGTTCTAATGACGACAAATGTACACACTTATAGCAGAAATGTTCTTTATTGTAGGAAATAACACTGACTATATATTTAGTACTATAAAATTGGCAAGAGCACCAGAAGCTTTCAAAGACTGAGCTGTAGAAATGTATGCAGTCAGAAAGGCAACTTTTCAGTATTAAACATCTCACATAGTTAACATCTGTGGAGCTCCATTGATCATCATAAAGCAGGGATACATGGTGCATGAGTCAGGGATGTCCAAACTATGGCCCTGGGACTAAATGTGGCTTACGGAGCCAGTCTTTAGTCCTCAGCCCCCCTGGTGTATTGCCTCACATACTGAGAAGTGTGTGTATACTGCAACATTTAAATAATTTAATATTATATCCTTTTTGTAAAACAAGTTGATGTGAACCAGACATTATCTTAGGGGCATGTTTACAGTTTAGGGAAAACATGGTTCAGCTGTGGAGATGTGAAACTGTAGTGTACAGTCCTGTAGTGATAAGTCATGTTGGTGGTTTCACATCTCCAAAAATAAAATAGATTTGCCCTAATGAGTTCAATTAAAGCGAACTCTGGTTTACTTGACACTAAATTGTGAACGCACCTTAAGATTTAATTTAAGGTGTGTTAGCGAATGAAAATCTTCTACACTACTCTGTTTACCTTCGCTACAGGTAAGTTTCCAAATGCACCCTTTGATGAAGAAAAAATGGAGACCACTTGCAAAAGCTTGAGGGTTCTTAAAAGTATGAAAAGTCGTATTGAGAGTGCAGTGCTAAAGCCAGTGGAAAGTGCAAGTTCATCTCCTTCAGTCAAATTTCCTAACGCATTCTTCACTGTGAAAATCAATCAATTGTGAAAAATTTATCATGACCAATAATAAAACCGTCACAACTTAAAAATTGCCTGTGGAAATGTCAGGAATATCCAAAATGGTGTAAACATAAACAGGGTGTGCTTTGTTGCTTTGAAACAATACAGTGTAAAGGCTTCATGAGAGATCTCTGACATTCTCAAACATGTCAGAGATCTCAAAATGTTGTGCCATTTATGTCTCTTCATAAAAAGGAAATATAAATCTGAATGTATTGGCAACAGATTAGAGATGTAATCTTTTGTTTGTGCAAATTGTCGGTAAGTTTAACTACGGTATAGAATAGTAACATCATATGATTAAATTACAATAAATAAAATAAACAGCACTTTCTTCCTTAATCTTGAAGTTGGGTTGCAGCATTAGGTAATATTGGGATTTTAGAAAAGCAGGTCATCCAACTTGCCACTGAAAAAAATTCAAATACAGTAAATTAGATAAATGTTTGGGAGTCCAGGGTTCCCAGAATGAGCCTTCAAAAGTTGTCCACAGAGCTACGGAAATATGTATTTATCTAATAAAACCAAATACATAATGTGTTGAGATTAATGATTAAATGTAAACAGAAAAAAAGTGGGTAAACAATATTACCTTTAGCCCACCACCTCCGGAGGCTGATGTCGTCATCTCCTGTTTTTCCATCTCTTCTTGTTTTTTTCTTTTCCTCTCGACTGCTTCCGGGTTTTTAACGCCCCTGTATGCATTCTGAAACAGAAAAGTAAATAATTCATGACAACATAAAAAGCAAACATCACAAATACAAACAGTCAGAGTGTGAGCAGAGCAGAGCAGTGATCCTTCTCTTATAGCTGTGCACATACATAAGTTAAAGCGCAGCCCTGGACAACCCACAAGTTCAAATCGTGATCTGCATCAGCGGGATCATTCCAGTGTGAACATTGAGGTTGGGTGGGAACGTGTGACAACAAACAATGGTGTTAATTTTAGGAAAGGGAACGTTTTTAGTGAGGGTTATCTCTACTCACCTTTGTGCCACTTTTGCCTTGTTCTTACGTTTTTTCAAGTGGCTCATCTGTACAGTAAAGATTACTCATGAAGGTCCTACTAGTATCCCCAGTAATTGAGGAGACCTAATTTGTGGAGAAGTGCAATAAAATGAACATTTTCTAAATGTTGAATACTAGAAAAACTAGCATGGTCTGACTACACCAAAGGATCATCAACTCTAAGCCCTAACCCACTGAAAAATTGATCCAGGGAAAATAACTTTGACATTGATCATGGACAATATTTATACAGTACAGCCTTCTGGTGAATCTTTTGTGAAAGAAGGAAAAGCAAGTCACAAGTTTACAAAATAAATAGAATTAATGTATGTTATGCTTCAAACAATATAGGCAAACATAAACATGTATATAACAATCTGTATGATTTTATGTAATCAAGTGCAATACACTATTGATTTCTCATCCCATGTTGCAGTGATCGCTTAAATGTGGTCAGTACATTGCTGTTTTCAGCCGTTGTCCCTCTGTCTGTTCCATGAACGCACTGGTGGGACTCAAAACCCTGGACTTCCTGGACCTGAGGACTGCTCCCCAGTCTCAAACCCAGGACTCCCTGGACCTCAGGACTAGTCCCCAGCCTGCCATTGGGAGTTGGCGGTCCTGTGACGCCCCTCGAGACAAAGGTTGTTCTGATTTTGGGCGATACAAACAACAATTTATTTGATGTGATTTGTTTTTAAACCAGTGTCCATGGCACATTAGTTTGGATCTAACACAGCCAAATTAATCAATATAATGTGACAATAAAAGAGAAGTTTAGGACTTTAAGATTGCTCTTGTTTGATTTTCTATATAATACACTTTGATGACTTAGCTGCAGAGTTTAATTTTTGAATCAGTTTCAGCTGGTGGAGTGCCATGTTGTTGTCAATGAAAAAGGTGTGCCACGGCTCAACAGGGTTGGAGAACACTATTGGTCAAAGTAGGTTTGATTGTGGCCACTTCCAGAGCTTTATACATGCAGTAAAATATTTTGAATAGTTATTAAAAAAGTAACTTTGAACCAACCTCTTTCTGTCTTTTTTCGGCAGCTTCTGCTAACTGTCTTCTCCTCGTCTCCTGTTAAACACAAAACCATTAGACTTCCTGAAGTATACATATGTATATAACACTGTCTATGGGTCAGAGCTCGGCCTGTCAGAATTCTTGGCATTCCATATATGGACAGTAGACAAAAAAAACAAGCTAGGAAGAAAGATGAATACAACAGTTAGCTAAACGTGTCTATTTCAAATGTATTAAACTGTATTCGTGCTTATTTATACACCAGTATATAAAGAATAATATCCTATTTTTTGGCAATAACATAATACTTACAGGGTCTGGATCTGGTGTTACTACAATGTCGTCCGCCGCGCCTCCAAAGCACGGTAAACACATCCCCATGTTTCTGTATTTCTCAGACACACCACCAAAGCAGGAACATATAATGGTAGACTTGAGTTAAGCTTTCAACTTGTTATTAGGAGAGGGTCTCGTTAAGGCTTTAGTACTCATAAATAAGGCAGATTTGGTCCCACAAGCGTTGGGCTCGTCACACTACCACTACAGCGGTTTGGCACTACTGCACCGTTAGCTGTTAGCTGTTAGCTGTTAGCTGTTAGCTGTTAGCTGTTAGCTGTTAGCTGTTAGCTGTTAGCTGTTAGCTGTTAGCTGTTAGCTGTTAGCCGTTAGCTGTTAGCTAGCATCTAACAGAGAGCGTTAGCTGCAGTCCGGGGGCATTTCTACATAACAGCGACCACAATATAAAGACATAAGGGAATTAAATTGTGCACCACCTTCTGTACACACGCAACGTTAGAGGCATCTTAAAATACCTGGACCTTTAACGCTGAATAAAATGCTGATGTCCCAAGTTGTTATTCAAGTTATTAAAAGAATCTCTATGAAGTATTTTCAAGACATAAGTGGATTATGGGATGCTATGGATGTGTCACACTCACATATGTATTATTTATTATATACTGAAATAATACAAAGCAAAACATGTCACTTGTCTAGAGTTGAAATAGGCTATCTGGAAAATGTAAATTATTATCGTATTGTTGAACGCAACTTTTTTAAAATACGCTACCTTGTAAGTGGTTCAACAGCGTCACCATGTGGACAAATTATAGCAAGAGCTGGATTATAGAGCTCAGACCAGGACTGGGACACATTCAACATGTGGAAAAGATGCTGTAGTTAGATGAGATGACCAATTTTTAACTTATAGGTGAATAGGAGGATTTTCCCAAATTATAGAAAATATCCGGTCTCTCCACTTTTTGAATAAAACTCTCTGGTCTTATTTGACGAGCACGTATCACCAGAATGATTGACAAATGGAAGGACCAGTAGTCTTGATGATCCACACTGAAGTAGAAAAATCCGCCTATATACCTTTAACCTAAGTAAGTAAAGTTTATTTGTATAGCGCATTTCACAGACCAGGGTCACAAAGCGCTTCACACATTAAAACACATAAAATACACAAACAAGTCAGATTTAAAAACAAAAACACAGAAAAACACAGTTTACACATCACAGAGGCCTATGAGCAGTGAGGCGAGAAAGCCTGTCTAAACAAATGCGTCTTAACCTAAATACCCGGTGTCAAACCTGGTGGTGGTGCTAGCTATCTGTGAGGATACTTTTCTTCAGCAGGGGCAGGGAAGAGTTGATGGGAAGGTGGAAGAAGAGTACACAACAATCATCAACAAACTTGAGGTTCAGGTGGAGGTTTACCACTAGAAAGAACGTTTTTTCCTAAACATAAAACTTTTTCACATTATTTAAAACAAAATGTGTCCAAGTCGATGACCAAACCTAACGTTCAAAAACAGCAGTTCAAAAAGGCTTTCAATCTAATCTGACCAAGTTTATGCTGGTTTTAAAAACAAAGTTCATTTTCTAGATGCAAAACTTATAGTGACATGCACCAAAATACTTGAAAGCTTGTAGGAAAAGGTGTGACCCCAAAATTCAGGGAAGCTATATACTTTTTTTCTTAGAGAATGTTCCATACTGCCATACTGCCATACTGCTTCCATATTGACTCATTGTGCAATACATTTGTTTTGGGGCCCAAGCAGCAGTAACATCAGAAATATACTGTAGTAACAGTAGTAGCTGTAAAAATTACACAGGGTGGGTTAAGCAGCCAGAGAGAAAGAAAAGAGATACAACATAAGCCTGATAAGCTTGCAGACAAAAGGGCTTGAACTTTTGCTTGTGGCTTATGGGCTTATGTCACCGATGCAATTTCCATTAGGCTGACTGATTGCAAGTGTGTAACGAGGCAAGCCAAGTTTATTTGTAAAGTACAATTCATACACATTGCAACATTAAAATCATAAAACCAGTTATAACCTGGATTTGAACATTGTCAGAGTAGAAACGTCCCAAATTTTCAGGAAAACTGTTCCAGATCTTAGCAGCACAAAAACAGAAATCCTGACTCCCAATGACCATGGGTGCCAGCAGCAGGAGACCAGTCCTAATGCTCCTCAAAGTTTGTTCAGTTGTTGAAATAGTATTAATTATTACATGTATAGCAATGTATATGTTAGGAACATGTCATGTTTTTTATCAACCAGTCGCAGAGTGGATCGAAAGTGTATTATTATTATAAACTGTGCCTTTACAAAATATACTTTAGTCTACAGCTTTTCCATAACCTAATTGGGCACAATGGCTAAATCCACTGTGAGGGACATAATGTACAATCTCCCATTGGAATAATACTGTTCTTTTTTGTCTTTTGTGCAGAGTGCAGACATCTACTATCAAAGCTGTTGGGGTCTCTACAGTGTGAGGTGAAGAGGTGAATCTCTTTTTTATTCCAGGTAGGCAGCTTTCAATGTTAAAATATTTGATTAAAGATGATTAACAAAATGAAGGACTCAAATTTAATCCTAAGTAGCTGTCAGAAGTATACACTAATGACTGGCTTGTCAGAACTACGGGTGGTGTGAATGACTGGAGTCCCCTACAGCAGTTCTGTCTGGTCAATACAGAGTCCAATCAATAGAGAGATTAATGTTGTGCCGTGCTTGGTCTGACAAAACTCCACCCATTCATCTTGTGCAGCTAGCTTTTTCACAGCTCAGCGTGCAGCGGCAGAGAGGGGATGACACTTGATACTGCTCTTCCCTTTGTAGCGTAATAAGTTATAATGAAGAAAGTTTGCTTCTTTGTGAGGAATATGGACTAAATGACAGGTGCATACTATGGAAGCCACAGCCTCGCTGGCTCTGGGCAGCTCTTCAGGTATGGACCATAGATAACTTTTCAAACTTGACACGTTTTGCCACAGAAATGTATACATTTTGAAAAATGTTTATGTAGTCATTGTAATGATGTATTTTCGTCTGAAATACTAAACTGATGTTATTCAATTTCAAGAAATAATCTATCATCCAATTATTGTCCAAATTTACTGCAAATATACGGCAAAAAACAAAAACTTGAATGAAAATGCCTGTAAATTATATGATTATTGAATATAAACGTATACATAATTTCATAAGAAATAACGCTTGAAATCTTCATCTGTGCATGTTTTCTGAAGAAACCAAATGGATGTTAATACATATTGTTTCTATTCATATATCCTGCCACAATACATGTAACATTATCTGCCAAGAACACAGTTTAATGAGCTTTACTATATGACAGCATGAGAGCTGTTGCTTTTATTAGCTGCCTCAGATCGTCTCTGCCCCAAGCCAAGATGGAAAACGGCAAAATAATGGTGATGTCCTGTTAGCTAATGGGGCTTTTGTATCGTGTTGATCCATGTGCACAAGTGTTCAGTGGTGTGAGGAGAAGTTGTACAGTAGTCATGCAGTAGACATCATGTTTGCCTGTGTAGTTGTGTAGCTGTGTAGCTGCCCAGAGTGATCTGACCCCAAGAGGAGAACCACATTAGCGTCACAAACTGCTTTTATGCATTCAAAAAGTATTCCAAGACAGATCTAGTTTCAGACTACTTTAACACAACAGGGTTAATTTTCTCATGCAGCATATTTTTTTTTTTCAAAAATACCAAAAATGTTATGACACAAATAATAACGTAAGTATAGCGACATAAGTAAGTATGTTAGTCATCTTTATTTATATAGCACATTTTTACAGACTAAGGTCACCCAAAGCGCTTTACAATGTTCAAAGATATTTTTCCATTCTCTCCACACGGTGATGACGGAAGTGAGACACCGAACAAACCCCGTCAAATCATCAAAGCCCCAATCAACACCATCCATTCACTCATATTTTTTGCGGTAGGGGAAACCGGAGCACCCGGAGGAAACCTACGCAGACACGGGGAGTGTAAAAGTATAGCGACTTGAAGTGGAGGCACAAACAGATGAATGTAGCAATATAACGATACAAGCTTTACGCACAATAAAGTTCTTATTACCAACAACCTACAGCCGAACAGCAGTTTAACAGCCTAAAAGCGGTTGTGTCAAGAGATGTTAAGTGACATTCTGGTTTTACTATATATGTGGAGTTTGCAGGGGAAAGAAAGATACTTCGATTGTTGTACAGAAAAGGTCTCGTTTATATTTAAATAGTCCATATTTCTGTATGTATTTGAATGTATGTATTTTGAAACTAATATTGTCACTATTTTTTATATTTTTGCAAGTATAGCATAAATCATTTCTTGGTTGTCAGAGGCACTTAAGGGCTTCTAAGTGACCTAATCTTTAGTGTAGTGAGGTGTGCAGCACAATGCCAACACTGAATTAGTCTCTCGAAACTTTAAAACCTCTTTTATCCAATTAACCAGCAGCTAAGTGTTTAAATTACACTGACCCACATCTGAGCAAAGTGCTCCCAAACAAGTCCTTATTGAATCAGACTAGATTCTATAAAGTAAGATCAGGAAGTAAATTGGAACATTGATCATCAATCATTAATGCAACACTCAGTGACTTTAGTGTTGACGTGTATTTGCTTAAGCAGGAAATACCTGCTCATCAATCGATCTTCCTCAGAACTGCACTCAGCTATAATGGACAATTACATTGGGAAAAAAATCCATATCCATATTTTGTAAAGTTTTGACTCATCAGCATCATTAGTACTCTTAAAACACATCAAATCATTATAGATATTGGCTTTTTACCCCTATTTTGTAAAATCAGCTATAATCAGCGTTTAACTGTGTTTTATCAGTTAACCCTTATACATATCTAGCCCTTGTATTATGTTGGAAAAAAATGACATTGATTATGTTGCGGGTCATTTTGACCCGTACTGTGTAAATGCACTCAAAACAGTCAAGAAAACAGGTTAAACCAATAACAACTTTATTTTAGGTTATATAAATATTTAGAAAAGTGACATACAACACATTTTTAATTCCAACACTATATTTAAGAAAGATTTAGTCTAATCTTCTTGTCCTCCTCTCGGGTCAAAATGACAATTTTTCCCTCCTTCTTTCCTCCTGCCATGCTTTCTCCTTCCTTTTTCTCATCCTGTTTTCCTTCTCTCTGTTCATCCTTCTATATTCCCTTATTTTCTCTTCCTTCCTTCCTGTCTCCCTTCTTTCCTTCCTACCTTCCTTTCTTCCTCCCTTCCTCTTCTTTGACCAAAGATTCTTCCTCTGAATCCTCCTTATCGTAGGAAAATTGACAATCTGGATCAGCAATAACATTGTCCTCTGTCTCTGAAAAATCCTCTGTTTCTGAAATCTCTTCCTCTACATCATTATCCCAGTAAATTATCTGTGAAAAAGCCTCCTCAGATGTTATCCTTCTGGAGCTCATTTTTGGTGAGTTTGTCTAAAGCCTAGTGCACATCGACAGAATAACTGGAGACAACTAGTCGCAAGGCGGCTTTTGGCGACTGAGAGTAGATGATGGAGATGATCAGTTGTTATCAGATGTGAGCGCTCTTACAACTGGAGATAAACAGTCGATCTCCGGATTCAGTCAGTTGCCCGTGTTCTACTTTTCGGCAACTAGTTTTACTCAGATCCGGAAATATCACCCGATGTGCGCGCTCCAACAACATGTGTGTATTGCGCGGCCTCTACAGTTTATGCCAGAAAACACACTGTAGTTGAGGCCAGTTGCTGTCGATGTACACGCTGTTATTCCCGAGACTGACCTGATACTAAGAGTTGCCCGTTTTCGCCACATTGTCGATGTGTGCGGGGCAGCAACTCAAAGGCGACGGATATATTCAGTTGCCAGTCCAATGTACGCTAGGCAAAAGAGATGACATGAGAACAGTGACAAGGACAAGTGTGAGAAAGTTCCCTCTCTTCACACACCTGGCTCTGGGTCTCAGAGGCAATCAAAATACAATGTCAAAGAGACATGTTTTTTTGGATCTGAACAACTATTTACCCACATTAAAGCGTCTGGGTCAAAATGACCCGCAACATCATCTTTGTATACAAACTCTGCACAGACATTCCAGTTCATGACCCTAGATGAGGAAAAGTCACCAAATTTCAGCAAGAAAAATAAAGGATAACCAGTACTTTGATCAACACAAAAACTGAAATGGGTCAAATTGACCCTTAACATAATACAAGGGTTAAATCTCTTCTGTTCATGTATGCATTTTATTGTATGTGTGACAGAGTTCTTAGAAATCCTGTCAATTCACCAGCTGCATCTCGTGAGTTGGATTCAGTACAACATCCTTAATAACATGCATAAATGTAATAAATGCATATTATAATCTGTTGTGAAATTCCATTTTGAGGAGGTGGGCCAGCAGCTCTGCATCCCAACCAGGAGTCATTAGACATCTTACTTTTAATATGTAGATTCAGATCACTATGGTTTATGAACGTGGAGCTAAAAGAAGCAGACTCCTCATACAGTCTACAGCTGTGCTCAAAAGTTTACAAACCCACACAAACATATGGATAATTGTCTTGTTTTGTCCATTTTCCTGAGATTATGAACGATAACTCAAAAACATTATTATGAATGATAACAAGATTATGATTCTATTTTTCTGTTTTCTATTTGAAATGATCATGACAACAGAATCCCCCAGTTCTAAATATCATCAAATTAGTACATAATTGAGCCAATCCGTGAAGAGGTCAAATGTGGAGTCAATGCAAAGCAGCTCAGGGAAGCCTTTATGTCATTAGTGTAGTTTCTTTTGCCACGCTTCATCCTGTATTCATTGCATTTCCTGAGGTGCAAAAGAGAAGTTAAAGGGACACTACTTTAATAACGGCTCATAACGTCTGGGTGAAGGCCTTTTCCCTGTGCCTCGAGCTTATTTTAATCATGTTCAATGCACAAATAATACACGCCACAGCACAATTTCTATCTACATTTATAGAGGCACACAGTAACAATCTTTATAAACAAAAACATGCGTTCTCGGTAAGACTTTACATGCAACATTAAGAGGCAATACTAAAGCCGTGTATGACATATCTCTGTGGTATCTCTGTGGTACTGTATCAAGATGTCAACATCATCGGCATTCCCATACTGAACCAAGATATGCTGGGTCAGTTCTTCAAAATATTTATGTTCTTTACAACTTATACATAGTTTATTATTAACACAATCAGAGGCATTGATAGTTCCAGAGAGCCCTAGACCATGCAGCCGCCCATTAGTGTCAAGTATCCAACTGGAGAAAAAAAAGCTACGCTTTTAAATATACATGAGAGACATGCGAGGAGAACAGTTATTATTCTAGGGCCGCAAGAGTTTTAATATCTAAATTGAAGGAATATTTTCAAATTTAAAACAAACTTTTCACCCGGTACTGAAATACAGCACAAAGACGCAATGAAAAAAAATACAAAAAACATTTGAGGGATAAAAGATCTGTCAAAGGGTTTTTTTTCGTTTCCCCTACTTGAATTTTGAGGCTTCCTTATAACGGCTACTGTACAGATGTTTTATTTTATTTTAATTAGTATAGCTGTTATTCACTTATCTTGTGCTGTGTGCTCCTCATGCCTACTGTTCTATAACTTGTGATGCAACACTGAAATTTCTTCACTGTGTGACGAATAAAGGATCTCTTAATCTTAATCTTAAATATTGAACTTCCTACTATTTATTCCTACTCAACTAGATATTTGGCCAAAATCGTTCAGCCCTAATTCACATCATACATTTATCATACTCAAACTTTTTTTGTTGTTGCATGTTGTTCATTTTATATGTCATAATGTTTGCCTGAAGTCAGTACTAACACTTATGATTGAAATAAGGAACTGAAAAAAATCAAATCTTATGGAAAGACAGCTTGCATTGAATTGCCTTGGTAAAGTGTATGCTCTTGTTGTCATTGCGCGACCTCTTTTACCGCCCATAGTAAGGATAAACATGTAAAGAATCAGGTTTTGTGTCTGTTCCAGGATCATGTCATCAGGTCAGGTGCGCGTACGTGCCTCTGCAGAGTGGGACCTCTTCTGGAGACTTGAAACATGTTCAAAGCGGCGTTGGCCTCAGTCACTCCGTGTCCTGGAGCTCCACTGCAGCCACAGACTCCTACAGCGAGACGCACTCAGGCTAGTCACACAAACCCTACACTCTTATACACACAAATATAGCCTCGATGGCAGAGAGCTGTAGGGTCAGAAATTGTTTGGGCCTGTGTCTTGTATGTGTTGTATTATGTTGCTGTATGTACTGTACAGTCTTATACTGTCATAAAATGTTATACTGTTATATCAATATTTGAAAGGGTGGTTGATTAATTGGTCAATGTTTTCTTTGTCCCTCAAATGTTGTTTTAGTCAACTAATTATTTAATTTCTAAGTATTAAAATGTGAAAATTTCAGAAATAAGAAGGTATGAGAGTAAGTGGCTGAAAATGTTGGTGTTTTGACTTTTATATTCAAGCCAGCTCAAATTCTCATTTGATATGTTTAATCAATATTGTAGTTATTATTCAGTTTGGATCAGCTATGCAATGACATTCAGAGCACCTTTTTTGGTCAAATAATTGTGTGTAAGGTCGTGTGCTTAGTCGACCAAGAATTTCTTTGGACGAAGATAATGTGTTGATGCTGTGTTGTCTTGTGTTGAATGGGGGAGGGGGGGATTGGAACTCTATCCAATCTCTTTTTTGTGTGCTTATATTTTTGTCTAGTGTGGAACTGTGAATATTTATGAGCAGGTTTGAAAAAAAGTATTTAGCAAACCTACTGAATTAAAGTACAATCAAAAATATCGAACATATAACGGGTAGATTTTTGAGATCCAAAATTAGTTTAACATTTCTTTCCTTTCTCAACTTCTGCTGCTGATGTTTGCTGGTTTTTTTTTATTTATTTTAAAGTTACCGTGCATTTGAATAGATTAATTTCTAACCTTGAATGATGCCCAGTTGGTCTGTTTGAAAGTTTTGCAGGTTACCACCAGATGGCAGTATACTATCATACTAAATCCACACTCCCTCTGCAGCGCTATCATCTGACCTATATCTCTGTATCAGGCTGAACTAGAACATTTGAAATACTTCTCTAGCCTTCTGTGAGTGGGAAGCGTATTCATAGAGGGTCAGTTGAATACACGGACTGGTCTATAGGCTGAAGCTTGGCACACTCGGATCTGTCTCCATCCTCAAAGACCCTGGAAGCAGTGGGAGGAGGAGAGTCACAAAGCAGATGGTCTTTGCATCCTCGACAGATGCTAGACATCTCCCCAGAAGTCCATCACATGCAGAGATTGATGGAAAAGAACTGGACCACGACCCAAATATTGTGACTGTAACACATGGAGAAAAAGTATGCATAGTCTGTCCAGAGAAAGAACTCACAATTATTTTGACAATTTTCTCTGCATGGCCTCCAATTATAACCAAGGAGGTACTAGCAAATTAGATTGTGAATTATTGAATATTCCTATAGTGACTTATATACCTTTCTAACCTCTCTAATAAATGTTTTTCTAATGTTTATTTAGTGCTGCTTTTTCAAATCCCTTCTGCCTTTTAAATACATAATTGGCAATCATTTCTTTCAACAATGAGTTTGACCTAATTCATTTTTATTTTTTACAAATGTAGCCTATCATTTGCTTATGTTCACAACATTAATTATTTTTGTTTTGTTGTGAAAACAATGGGGCTATGGATTACAAATTGTACTGCATAGGAATAGGCATGTCATGTAAGGTGAATGTACAGTCAAATATCTCTGAGTTACAAAGCTATACGTTTGTACCTTTCTAACGTAGGCCTCCCCTCGTCCCTTGTGGATGTGGACTGCACTATTGATTGTCTAGAGCAGGGGTATTCTTACTTACTTACTTACAATTCAACTCGGTCGTCAAAAGCCAGAGTGGCTGCAGGTGTTCATTCCAACACCTGCAGCAACTTTGCCCTTTGAGTACAACAAACCCCACTCATTTCCCTAAATTTACTTGACTCACTTGAGGAAATGGGTGAGATATTGTTTGCTCCTGCTTAGTATGAATGAAAACCTGCAGCCACTCAGCCCTTTAAGGACTGTGTTGAATATCCCTGGTTTAGAATATTTCTCACAGTTGCATTGTTTCAACCTCAACACATGCATTACAACATAAGGTATACTTTATTGTTGGAGGATTTGACTTGAATGGTGCAGGTTTGGGTGGTGGGGAGTTTTGATGACTTTTTAGTTCAACAATACGTCTTGTTTATGGTTTGGATTGTTTAAAGCTCTGTACTGTTGCAAGATCGATGTTACCATTTTGCAACACTTGCCCCAGCACTGTAAACCCTGACAAGTAAAGTTTACTTGAAAAAACCATGGAAATAAATTGCGTATTAACTTCACTTGAATTACTCGAGTACATCCTTTACTTGATATTACCAAGTAACTCAAGTGATTGCAATAAAGTTTAAATTTCTTCTTAAGTTCCGACCGGGAGTCGTACTCAGAACTCTGTAGTTGAGAGGTAATGGTGCTACCCACTCAGCCACCAGGCCACCCTGCCATTGTCACACCTGCCTCATTAAAGACTCTACACGTCAAAATGTCAAAAGTGAGGCTTACTTGAACAGAAACAGTTCAATTCAAAGAAAATCCTGAGTGATATAGCCAAGCTTTAAATAAACTAACAATAAATGAGTAATATTTACTTACTGGGAAAAATCTATTTAAAACTAGAAACTTGCAATGGCTGAAGCCATTGCGATTGACTGCGGAACAGATCTAATGTGGAAATCTGCTAAAAAAAATCCTTGAAATCCTTTAAAAGGCCTTGAAACTGTTAAAATACTTGATAGATATTTGAAACTCCTGAAGTCCTTGAAATTGTTGAAACCTTTAAACTCCTGAAATCCTTGAAACTGTTGAAACATTGAAACTCCTGAAATCCTTGAAACTTTTTTTAAACCTGGAAACTGTTGAAAGTGTGGAAACTCCTGAAATCCTTGAACCTCCTGATATCCTTGAAACTGGTTAAATTCTTAAACAGTTGAAATCCTTGAAACTACTGAATGTATTGAAAGTGTCCTTGAAACTGAAAAATCCCCTCACCGCTGAAACAATTTGGTTCCCTGTAACTAAGGAAACCTGGTCTGTGGTCATTATCTGGTGGTGGTCTGAGTCTTCGTTTGGGTCTTGGTCTGGTGGTATAATGCAACCTATTAGGTTGCATTATACTGGTTTACATGGAAAAATCCCTATTAGGTTGCATTATACTGGTTTACATGGAAAAATCCCTATTAGGTTGCATTATACTGGTTTACATGGAAAAATCCCTATTAAGTTGCATTATACTGGTTTACATGGAAAAATCTCTATTAAGTTGCATTATACTGGTTTACATGGAAAAATCCCTATTAGGTTGCATTATACTGGTTTACATGTACAAATCCCTATTAAGTTGCTTTATACTGGTTTACATGTAAAAACCCCTATTAGGTTACATTATAGTGGTTTACATGTAAAAATCCTTATTAAGTTGCATTATACTGGTTTACATGTAAAAACCCCTATTAAGTTCCATTATACTGGTTTACATGTAAAAACCCCTATTAAGTTCCATTATACTGGTTTACATGTAAAAACCCTATTAAGTTGCATTATACTGGTTTACATGGAAAAATCCCTATTAAGTTGCATAATACTGGTTTACATGGAAAAATCCCCATTAAGTTGCATTATACTGGTTTACATGAAAAAAACCCTATTAAGTTGCATTATACTGGTTTACAAGGAAAAATCCCTATTAAGTTGCATTATACTGGTTTACATGGAAAAATCCCTATTAAGTTGCATAATACTGGTTTACATGGAAAAATCCCCATTAAGTTGCATTATACTGGTTTACATGTAAAAAACCCTATTAAGTTGCATTATACTGGTTTACATGGAAAAATCCCTATTAAGTTGCATTGTACTGGTTTACATGGAAAAAACCCTATTAAGTTGCATTATACTGGTTTACATGGAAAAAACCCTATTAAGTTGCATTATACTGGTTTACATGGAAAAAACCCTATTAAGTTGCATTATACTGGTTTACATGTAAAAACCCCTATTAAGTTGCATTATACTGGTTTACATGGAAAAATCCCCATTAAGTTGCATTATACTGGTTTACATGAAAAAAAACCCTATTAAGTTGCATTATACTGGTTTACATGAAAAAACCCTATTAAGTTGCATTATACTGGTTTACATGGAAAAATCCCTATTAAGTTGCATAATACTGGTTTACATGGAAAAATCCCCATTAAGTTGCATTATACTGGTTTACATGTAAAAAACCCTATTAAGTTGCATTATACTGGTTTACATGGAAAAATCCCTATTAAGTTGCATTGTACTGGTTTACATGGAAAAAACCCTATTAAGTTGCATTATACTGGTTTACAGGAAAAAACCCTATTAAGTTGCATTATACTGGTTTACATGGAAAAAACCCTATTAAGTTGCATTATACTGGTTTACATGTAAAAACCCCTATTAAGTTGCATTATACTGGTTTACATGGAAAAATCCCCATTAAGTTGCATTATACTGGTTTACATGAAAAAAAACCCTATTAAGTTGCATTATACTGGTTTACATGAAAAAACCCTATTAAGTTGCATTATACTGGTTTACATGGAAAAATCCCTATTAAGTTGCATTATACTGGTTTACATGGAAAAATCCCTATTAGGTTGCATGATTACACTGAAGTCCTTGAAACTGCTGAAGTCCTTGAAACTGCTGAAGTCCTTGAAACTGCTGAAGTCCTTGAAACTGTTGAAGTCCTTGAAACTCTTGAAATCTTGAAACTGCTGAAATCCTTGAAACTGTTGAATCCTTGAAACTGTTGAATCATTGAAACTGTAGAAATGTCTGAAAGAGCTGAAGTCCTATTAAAATGCATGGGCCTATTAAAATGCATTGCAGAATTCTCAATGCAGATTTTTGTCCGATTGCGGAAAAACCGGAAATCGCTGAAGTCCCAAAAGTAATAGCAATAATCTCCCAAACATGTGGAACGTTTTGATGTATAACTTGTGGAAATTGTTGAAAATGTGAAAGCTGTGAAACGTGTCAAAAAAAATGACGGAATAAAGAA